AGATAAATGCTCTTATATATTTATCAGTTATTTAAAAAAACAATATATATTACGAAATATTTTATCTCAACAAAATTTCAAGTAAACCAAAACTCAAGGATATTTGAATTTTAAACGTTAAATTTAATTTTTGAAACTCGGTCAACGAAATGTAACAAATATTGCATTTATTTTTTTAAAATAATAACAAAAACTTTAATGGCATCAGTTCTATAATGAATAATATTATAGAACATTTTTCGTTAATTAAAATTCCAAACAAATAAAAACAGATAGACAATAGAATTTTAATCATAGCAATTTAATTTAATTTTTGAAACCAATAAAAAAATTTACTTTTACAATTTCAAAAATTCCTTTTCATTCTTATTTATTTTTGAAAAATTAAAATATTATTAGATATTGTGTTAGTAGAAAGTATACAAAAGTTTTGCTAATTTTAAATAACAATTAAATATATATCTAAAAATACTATAGCTAAAACGGATGATTTAAACAAGTTACAGTGTTTGACAGTTAAATATACATCTCAAAATACAATAGCTCATAGGTTAATTTAAAATAACAGCTTAATATGTATCTCGAAACATTGTAGCTTATGTAGCTGCAGTGCTTGATAGTTAAATATACATCTCAAAATACAATAGCTCATAGGTTAATTTCAAACAAAACTTAAATATGTTCACGAAGCACTGTAGCTTACAGTGTTTGACAGCAAAATATACATCTCAAAATACAATAGATCATAGGCTAATTTAAAATAACAGTTAAATATGTATCCCGAAACACTGTAGCTTATAGACAATTTGATTAATATTAAGTGACGCAAACTGTGTATATGTTGTTCCGTAATAATAATGATTAATTTAAACGCTTAGACTAGGTCGAATATAATATTCCCTACTACCAGTCAGTCGTAATATGTTTTAAAGCTTGTAAATTTCAATGTATTAAAAATTCTCCTCTTAACTCAACCACTTCAATTAAAAAGAAATTAATCTTTACAATCTTCATCATCTAATTCCCCTTTAATTAAACTTAAGCGAATTTTTTATTCCGTAAATAAACTAATATTATATATTACGCTTTCTTCGGTCATTTATGCCTAATCTTCATGTATTTAAATCAATAAAGTTATTAGCATCATTTTCTAAATATCTCAATATTTTCTAAATATCTAAAAAAATATTATATTTATTTTTTAAAAATTATAACATCAGTATCATCTTATAGCATCAGTTAATTTATGCACAAATTTTCACTATTTATTCATTTGCCTTAAAATTTCAGCGTCAAGTTCTTTTTCTGTTAAATTTGTGTAAAAATTTACAAACAGAAGCTTACTTCACACTAGGAAAAAAAATCTAGACTCGCCTTAAGTAAATATATTTTACTCGAAATAAAGCCAGTGAAGGTGTTGAATACATTATAATTAATTCAATTTTATTTAATGTTTCTTTTAATTAATCATTGACAAATTAGTCATAAAAATATATTATGTATATTTTTATAATTTATAATTTTATTCATTTATGTTTTATTGGAATATTTTCTAAACTATAATATAATGTTTTATCTTAAAATGTTTTTGAGATTTCAAATTCAATTTTGCAGCATTATTCTTAGGATGTCGGTACTTTTTCACCATAAAACCCGTTTTAACTGAAACAAAAAATCTGATATATCGTAATTTTTACAGTAATAATGGACAATTACAGTCAACATTTTATTACAGAAAACATTTTATTACTTTTCTAAGAAGGCTATTTATTTAGTTATTTTCAATCAAAAAACGCTTACTTTCGTTTTCGCCTGAAACGGGGAGTCACGTGATTATTCACGAACTGACGTCACACGTGTCCATCTGCCGTTCACTTACAATAGCGGTGCTGTGAAAACCAATACGTTCTTGCTTTCGTTTAAATTTTCTAATTAAATTCAACCATTTTAGATGGTCTTTTGCTATCTGTATAGAAAATTGCGCCTTAATATCGCTTAATAAAAATGTGGATTTGATATAACGTATTTTTATAATGTTAAATTTCAGTGGTACCCACTGAAACATTGTTAATACTTGACGAAATTTTCTAGCTCGGAATATTTAAGATTTTTTAGTTCAATAAAAAAAG